TGCAAGACTGCGCCGACAGCGCTGCTGGACGCGTCGGTGGTCAAAATGAGCTGTGTATGAGTGTCAGACCTTAGGTGGTGCAGCATGGTGGCATCCACAAGTGCCTTCTTCGCTTCCTCAAAAGCTATATGGGCTGCCGGTGAAAGCTCAATAGGTTTTGCTTTCGACTTCAAGAGGTCAGTCAAGGGAGCCAGGATTGCCGCACTATGGAGAATAAAACGTCTGTAATAGTTGATAAGGCCTATGAAACTTCGCAGTTGAGTGAGTGTTTTGGGAACAGGGAAAGACAAGATGCATTGCACCTTCTCAGTAAGTGAAGTTATTCCGTGCTGATCGACGTGATGGCCAAGGAAATTGAGAAATTTAACGCCGGAAACGCATTTGTCGACTTTTAATTGCAAACCGTGTTGCTGGAAACGATCGAATATGAGGCGTAAATGCGAGGCATGTTCCTCTCCCGAAGAGCTTGCGACGAGTATGGCGTCGATGTAGGCGTAAGCGATTGAAAGGCCCCGCAAGATCTCAGCGATAAAGCGCTGAAACGATTGGGCGGCATTGCGCAAAGCAAAAGGCATGCGAATAAATTCGAACAGCCCAAAGGGTGTCGTGATAGCGGTCTTTGGGATATCTTCCTCAGCGACAGGGATTTGGTGGTACGTCCTGACGAGGTATATCTTGGAGAAAAATAGTTTTACCGGCTAGCATGTGAGAAAATTAATGAATGTGGGGAATGGGGTACCAGTCAGGAATTGTGGACCTGTTTAGAGCTCGATAATCACCGCACGGTCTCCAATCGTCAGATGACTTCTTTGGCACCATGTGCAGTGGTGAGGCCCATGGGCTAGACGAAGGGCGTATAATGCCCGCATTCATCATATGTTCAATTTCGTTCTTTCCCATTCGGAGCTTCTCAGGGTGGAGTCTACGCGGACGAGTGTGCACTGGTTGCCCTGCCATGACAATGTGATGTTTCACTCCGTGTTGAACGGTTTCGGTAAAATGACATGGTTTAGTGATGGACGGGTAGTCCTTCAAAATGTCAGCGAAAGGGGTGCTGGGGATGGTGAGATGAATGCCAACCGAACGTTCAGAGCTAATGGTACCTATGGTAAAGAGTTGGGTGGTTGTGTCTGTGAGGCGACGGTGTCTGACATCGACTGTAAAGCCGAAAGATGACAAAAAGTCGGCCCGATAATGGGCGATTTGACGTCAGCCTCAATAAAGACCCATTGAAAGCGTCGCCGGAGACCAAGATCTAAAGTGAGGGACCGTTGGCCGTAGGTGCTGATTGTGGTGCTATTTGCAGCCTGCAATGAGAATTGCGAAGGCTTGAGGCGGTTACGCCTTAGAGGCGGGATGACACTGACCTCGGCACCGGTATCAACAAGGAAACGGAGGCCGCTCGACTTGTCGTTGATATAGAAAAGGCGACTGGGTCGCGACGGGCCAGCAACAGTCGTCGCCATTACTGGCTGGCGTGGTCGTTTAACTGTGAAGGACGAGCGAACGAACAAGGAGGTATGCACTTTCGGGCTTTCGGGCCATAAGTGCGGTGATACCAACATAAGGGTTGTGAACGCCGCTCACGGGATTTAGACCGACGATGTGAGTATGGCTGTTTTCTAGCCGATTGAAGACTGTTAAGAGCAGAGCACATGTTGCTCATCTGAGTGCAAAGGAGGCGCACCGTGTCTCTTAGGTCGTCGTAATCGGTGCAATAAGCGTCGGTGGGTGTTCTGGGAGGTCCGGCTGATGTGGGCGCTCGTCAGGCTGCGCAACAGCGTAGTGCTTTTTCCGTATAGGGAGTGTCGTGCTCTGATAATGCTGGGCCTTCTGAATCAAAGTCAATGCCCTGATGGGGCTTGCCAGTGGAAGGCGGGGACTGTTGAATATTGGAACACTAGGCACCAATGGGGTAACACTCGTTGATTCTGTCAGCGTAGGTAGCTAGCTCCTCTAAGGGTGTATCCGAGTCCAAAATAGACAAAACCTGTTGCATTGGCACCGGTAACTTTTCTAACCAAATCTCGCGAAAAATGGCGTCGTCCATGTGCCTACCAGAGAGAAGTGAGCGCATGTGACGCATGAGCTGGGAAGGTGTCTGATCACCTAGCTCTACTTGCGCGAAAAGTTCCCGCAGCATAAGGTTGGCCGATTTACCCACCTGTTGGATTACCGCTTCCTTCAGCCGCGTATACGGTTCGTCGGCTGGAATGGGGTCAAGGATGTCTTCGACGGTGACAGCTACATCAAATGGGAGGGACTGCAAAACGTACGAATAGCGGGTACGTTCGCTAGTAATGCGGCTTGTCGCAAAAAGAGCCTCGATCTGCCTGAACCAAACGCGAGGATTGCTCGGTGCAAACGGTGGCAGTATAAAAGAAAGAGTGTTAATGTCGAGTGAGTCTTTTTGGGAGTCCTTGGTGGCCATGGTAAATAAAAAAAGGTTCGGAATGCAGGAAAAAGCGGGGTCACCAATTTTGTAGTGAAAACGTGGACTTAAAAATTACAAACAGTAATATATACAGGAAAAACTAACTCCAAATGGGGGAATTGTGTATACCAACAAAACAAAAAAGGATGTACAGATTCGGAGAATCAGAAACGGAATGTTCCGGACTCACGCAAAGTAGAATCCTCTCAAGTAGCGAGATAGTATTCCGATGAGGAACCGGTTGAATAGAGGCAGTCGGTTCCGCGATGATATGGTGAAGTAGGCTTGTGAGGAGGGAGTCTCCGTCAGCTCATACGAATTGCTAAGAATGTTGAGAGGTTAGAAGCGAAGGCAAAGAAATTACGACATCTAGCACACACGAAACCAGAACACACGTTGACCACCGCAGAGTTGTTATCGTGTATTTTTTTGTTTAGTCAAACAAATGTACAGGAAAGTCAGGTGTACAAGAAAGTGTAGTGGAACAAATCAAAAATGTACAAAAGCCTACAGATCACTTTTTGCTGCCCGTAACACAAAGGGAATAAATTAAGACGGTTCAGTTTGTGTAGGATTGACTTTTTAAACCGTTTACCAGCTTTGTTGCACGTTTTACTCTTTCGAGGCATGTTTGGTCCTTTACAAGCAATGGTCGCCAAGCTTGTATGCAAGATTCTAAATGGGGCTGAACGAAGATGCCGTAAGTTTTTCCGAAAAATTCTCTATGAAAGGTTTCGGACTGCATTTTGATTGCATGGAGCACTCCTATGGCGTTTTTTGCAGTTGTAGGTCCATTACCAACAAACAGATGCCTCGCTTTTCAGACGCAGGCGGAGGACGTTTTCCAGTTTCGGCATTGGCACAACACCAGTAAACAAATTATTCCTAGTGTTATCTTCAAGCTGCCTTTGAACAAGCAGGAGTAATCAAAGTATACGTAAGCTGCATGAGCTGTTTTAGTTAAACCAGGCGGTCGAGTCTGGGCGAGACAAATCTCAGAATAGTGGACGGAAAAATTATACGCGTCCAGAGGCCATTCCTATGCAGAAAGCCCATAACTCTAACAGCTTAGGAGTGATGGAAAGCAGTTCATCCCGCTCAGTTCCGACCGGCTTCTGCATTCAATCCCAAGAAATGGATAAACGCCAGTATGCCGGAGTTGATCGTGCCAATTTGAGATTTTTGTATACCAATGCTCAAAGTCTCGTTTCGAAAATCGACGAACTCAAAGCGATAGTACCGGAACGAATCCCCGACGTCATCGCCATAACGGAAACTTGGCTTAATGCCGAAATCTTGGATGCTGAGATTTCAATACCGGGTTACCAGCTGTTTCGTAGAGACCGCCAAAATAGGCAGGGCGGAGGGCTAGTCGTATATGTAAGGGAAGGAATTTCAGTAGTTGAAAGAGCCCACACCCTCTCCTTTGAATATGAATCCGTCTGGATAAAGATAAAGAAGAGCAATGCACAAAATCTAGAATTTCTGGCGATTTACAGACCACCAAACCTTCTGAGTGCAACTGATGAGTCGCTTCTTGGTTTAGACAAAGACGTAGCTAACCACCAAGAGGTACTTATTGCTGGGGATTTCAACGCACCTGCAATAGAGTGGGAAACTATGGCAGTTAACGGCGGACCAGGCTCTTTCAGCAATAAGCTACTGGACATCACACTCAATCTCCCTCTGGCGCAACATGTGAAGTTACCAACAAGATTTCGAGAGAACCAGAGAGCGAATTGTCTAGAACTAGTTTTCACTAAAGACTTCTCTAATATCGACGAAGTATATTCCAATGCACCTCTCGGGAAAAGTGACCATACTACGCTACTATGGGATTACTCGCTCTTCTCTAAACACCAGAAGAGAACAGAGGGCCAACCTAATATATGGAAGGCAGATTTTAATATGATGAAGAACGACTTGCTGTCCGTGAATTGGGACCAACTATTCAGGGGAGATCCGGAGGACGACTGGAGATCTTTTAAGACGATTTCACTCGATCTGATTAGGCGCTGTCGTCCACCTAAAGTACAAAAAACAACTAGTCGACCTGCTTGGTTAACTAGGGACCTAAATAGGCAGCTACGGAAGAAAAGCAAAAGATGGAAAATATTCAGGGAAACTGCGTCACCAGCGCATATCGAAGAATTTCGTCGTCAACGAAATGCAGTCAAAAAATGCATCCGTCAGGCACGGAAGGAGTATGAATCCAAAATTATCCGACAGGCTGAACAGTCTTACTTGCATCGCGTGTAAAATACCTGGAACAGAACAAAATATTGTGCGATGCCCAACACGGCTTTCGTCCAGGGCGCTCCCGCTTAACGAGTGTTCTTTACTCGCACGAGAAATGGACACGAGCTACCGATAAGGGTTTTCCAGTAGATGTCATATTTTTTGACTTCAAGAAGGCTTTTGACTGTGTCCCACACAGGCTTCTTTTACAAAAGATCTGGGATGTAGGAATTCAAGGGAGAATGTTTAAGTGGATCAGAAGTTTTCTGTCCTCCAGACTACAAAGAGTCGTCGTTAGTAATTCTACCTCGGAATGGGTAAAGGTGGAAAGTGGTGTCCCACAGGGTTCTGTCTTAGGCCCAGTACTCTTCCTGATTTATGTTAATGACTGCATCAGCGAAGTGAATTGCGAGGCTCTCATGTTCGCGGATGACATAAAACTATGGAGTGAAGTCAAGTGTGATGATGACGCAGAGAAGTTGTAGTCGAACATCAAAAAACTGTGTGCTTGGTCGAACAGATGGCTTGTGAAGTTTAACGTGTCCAAATGCGTGGTTTTGCACCTGAACACTGGCCGCAATGCCTCTCCCAAACACCAGTACTATATTGACGCGACGAGGTTAGAAACTGTGGAAAGACACAGAGATCTGGGTGTATGGACGACCACAAATCTATCGCCATCAGAACACTGCAGAAAGATGGTCCAGAAGGCAACTAGTACTCTACACTGGATCAGACGTGCATTTAAAATATTTCCTCCCGAACTCTTCGAAAGACTCTTTGGTGTCTTTGTAAGACCTCATCTAGAGTATGGAACGCCAGCAGCTTCACCATGGATGAGGAAGGATATCAACTTACTCGAACAGGTGCAACGCAGAGCGACAAAGATGGTCGACGGTCTTAAGCATTTGTCTTATCAGGAGAGGCTGAATTTGCTTGGCCTATTCCCTCTCTCTTATAGACAAATAAACTGCAGTCTACTCTGGACCTTCCGGATTGTTCGCGGCCAGGGTTGCTCACTAAGGGCAGAGGACTTCTTTGAGTTCGCCCGTACAAACCAACTACGCGGCCATGCATTCAAAGTCGGGAATGAGCGCACGCGTTTAGACCGACGAAAATTTTCATTCAGCCAGCGGGTTGTTAGGCCGTGGAACTCGCTTCCAAGCGAGATGGTGACGGCTGACACAGTTTGTGTGTTTAAAAGAAAACTTGCTCGTCTAGTTTTCGACAGAAATCGGCTTCTACAGCATGACTATGCACAGCCAGTTTTGTAAAATCTGTCATATACAATCCTCCGCACTAATTTACAGTGACCCCATGCACTACCTTATGATTACGATTGAACTGTGACCCAATCACATTTTAAATGCCAGCAATTTTATTTTTATTTTTGAGTATGAATCTGCGAAAGCACTGTACATAAATAGGGTAATCAAGGGCTCTGCCTGTAACCCTTCAATATACATATACAAAATATACAAATACGAAACCTAAGATTTTATTTCACTATCTTAACAGTCGACTGAAAAATAAGGACCCGGTCGCGGTGCTGAAGGATGGTAATGGTGTAGAGATCACTGAGAACACCGAGAAAGCCAGAAACTTAGGATAATATTTTGCCTGGGTTTTTGCTAGGGAAACAGAGTTTCGCAGTCGCAGTGCTAGCAGTGCTGTTGAGACTGCTGGTCGCGTGCTTGACTCCATACTCTTCCCGACAGCTGTCGTGGAAAGGGAGCTGAAAAATCTCAAGGAAGCAAAGTTCTCGTGTCCGGACAATATACCAGCCAAATTCTTGAAGGAACTGGCGAATGAACTCTCCAAACCACTGGCGCAAATCTTCCGCTCGTCATTCGAATTAGGGAGGCTGCCATCGGAATGGAAGACAGCAAATCTCTTTCCGATATACAAGGGCGGGGCTCGCACTAATGCTAACAATTACCGGCCTGTTAGTCTAACCTCTATCTGCTGTAAAATAATGGAGGCAATATTTAAGAAAGCGACAATGGAGTTCCTGGAGCAGGGCCATTTAATCTCAGACCTGCAACACGGCTTCAGACAGAAACGCTCGTGCCCTTCCAGTTTATTGCTCTCGACGGAGCAGTGGACTCGCGCACTGCACGAGGATGGTAGGGTCGATGTCATTTACACAGACTTTAAGAAGGCGTTCGACAGCGTCCCACACAAACGCCTGATCTACAAACTGTCTGAAATTGGGATAAGAGGAAGTCTGCTGACATGGATAACAGATTTTCTTGCCGGGAGATCGCAAACCGTGTGCATTGAGACCACAAGGTCAACTCCTACCCCTGTTCTAAGTGGTGTACCCCAGGGCTCCGTCTTAGGGCCGTTGCTATTCCTGGTTTACATTAACGACAGCGTCGACGACCTGGGATGCAGCGCCATCATGTTTGCTGACGATGTTAAGCTGTGGAGACCCATCAGATCTGACGAAGACAGGTACGCGCTTCAAGACAGTCTCAACCGCCTGAACAGCTGGTCAGCTCGTTGGCTCCTTAATTTTAATGTGGACAAATGTGTGGTTCTGAGACTCCGCACCAGGCGGACCAGTAAGGAGGACGATTCCTTTCAATACGTTCTGGGTGGTCAGCCCCTTTCAAATGTTGTGGAACAGAAAGACCTGGGCGTCCTAATGACCTCCTCACTGAAACCATCATCACAGTGTCAAAGGGCAGCCAAAAGTACGATAAGGGTGTTATTTGCGCTGAGGCGAGGATTTGTGCAGGTCGATTAAGAGCTGT